AAGGATGGAACTTACATATTTATTCCAGGGGAGACGAAAGTCGCTGACGGCTTAATCATATGGTGAACCACAGCCTCTCGTCCGGTTACCAGTTCCATGCCGGGTATGGGATTGGTTAGCTAGTTATTTGTTTCAGATGCATGGACTTGATGCTGGAGGAAGTCGTAACCAACCAGCAGTTATGTGAACCCTATGGCGGCAAGGAGTCCAGCAATCCTTTTGCACATAATTATTCCCTGCCTGCAAACCGACGCAGGGTAATCATAGCGTATTCCTAAAGCTTGTAATTTGATTTTGAATCCTAACATCGCATTAATATTTCACTTACAAACCTGTAACTTTCTAATGTTTTCTTCAGTCACAGAATATGTTTGTCATTACTCATGTTCTGCTGCCTCAACAAACTGGTACATCGGACAGTTGTACAACTTCAAATGAGGAAGATTTATGGGAATTTCAAGCTCAGTATGATGGTATTTGTTTGGGTTGGATACATGTAGGTATATCTTACTTGAATTTATAAGTAAGGTACTAATACCACAGACTGTCTTTGATATGGCCACTGGATAATTAACATGTTTAAATGGAAATGGATCTATTTCACATAGCTAATGAACTCTTGTCACAATTTGTCTCAGAACGAAACTTCTGACAAGCAGTTTCAAAGTCAAGTAATTTTTTCAGTTTGCCATTACTTACACATTTTTACTCTATACTATCGATTTTATTGTTGCTAGTTGCTTACTGACTGACATAAAGGTGGCAAAACTTTGCGTGGCTATGTGGTTCCTTAAAGGCATAATCAAACATAATTTGCTGAATAACAAAATAGCTACTGAGTAGTTTTCACCTTGCAATTTAGCAATATCTTTTTTTCAGACTCATCCATCACAGACTGCATTTTTATCGAGTGTCGATTTACATACACATTACCCTTATCAGTGTTTAATGGCTGAATCAGTGGCAATTGTTTGCTCTGGGAAATTTAATGAGGTAACTTTCTTTTTCAACAATTTTTTTTATTTGGGTTGTCATTGCTGAGTTGATGGGAAAATTTTGAGTTTGATTATCATCATAATAAGTCTGATATTTCAGACTCAGACAAGGAGTGTTTGAAAATATGACATGACTCCAACTCAAGAAAAACATGCCATACTGGAGACTCCACATTTCTGACTCTCTGACAATTTCTCCCTGCCGCTTGACCCCAGAAAAAAAATTCTTCTTATACTTTACCAAATCCAAATTTTTGGTGTTTATTTCAAGAGTTTTCTTAGTTAGCCACTTCCATCGTTTGGTTCCAAATATATAACCTCCTGTAATTTTAAAGTACGGATATCTAAGCTTGTTGGTTTTTGGGGACTTCTTTTCGATTTCTACAACCAAACTAAATCTCTTCACGAGCAAAAAATTATATCGAAGGATTTGATTTACAAATAAATTTCAGAATTTCTATAAAATTTTACATAATAAATAACTAGCAAAACCACAAAGGAAGCCAATTTTTACAAACTTGCATGAAATTCTGTCTGCCTGTTAATAAGAAATACTTCCTAACACCAACTGATGTTTGTTAAAATCATCACTATGGCCTATATACACATTCAAGTTTTACAAGTTTGGTACAATGGATGTATCCCCGAGCATCGACTTCCTATCGTGCATTATTAAAAATAAATTTCTTTACATAGAATTTTGATTTGGTGTATCCAAACACATTTGCATTCTTAAAACCAACATATGGGTACATGATTTAGTTTCATATCAGGTATCATATCTTTAATTGAATTATTGAAAATGTGAATTTGCATTGTGGATTTCTGAAAATAAAACTGTTGCCAGCACATGAGCAGCATTTATCTATGATCATATGATCAGCCTTGGTTAAAGTACTTTATGAACTTCTATTTTTGTTTTAATATTACAGACTGGTTACTTCATGCTCACTCCTGGACAGGGAATGAAGGAGATTGGTAATTGTTCAAAACCAGGTCACCATCCCCATCAAACCAACCCTCCTTTATTTCAGGTAAAATAGAATTTAGAAAAATACATAGATTTTATCGAACAGTTTAAATTAATTCAGGTTCTAAATTGAAGATCAGGTAACACCTAATGGAACCTAATTCGGGTAAATACATGCAAAATCCCACATGAGATATCAATCACAGTGGCATACAGACAGTATTGAAATGTATATGAATAAAATCTTGTTTAAAATATGTTTCTATATGACTTCTGCACACATCACATGTGCATATATTACTTATTTCTTGGAATATATTGGAATAAAATATTGTTATTTAAATTGTGGGTATGTTTTTATGTAAGCACATAATTATAAATCATTTTTTTTATTTTATAGTCGTGTGATCATGTCCAAGTTTCTGATTCTCACCAAGTTGAATTCATGGATTGGAGGAAAAGGTGACATATAGTAAGTGCCATAGTTAATATTTGGTTTGATATTCTCTTATTTTTGTTCTCTGTATCTGAAAATTTTTTAAAAATGTATTTTGTCAGTATTTATTGCCACTATCCGTTCCCTAAAATTGAGAGAGTTTCTGATACTGCTCTTTCCCCATTTATTATATTTTCAGGTTCCCAAATTGTGGTTTGATAATATTTTATATTTAACTTGCGATTGCTAATAAGTAAGCATCTGCCTTTTTGCATCCATTCAGTCAACCTCTTGAATTTTGGTAGTAATAGCTTCAAAATCACATGTTTTACAGATTTGAGCAGCAGAAAAAAGAAACGCTCTGTTGCTGTGTGTTCAGATTATATTTCGTAGAAATATGCACTTACTGAATGGAACGGCCATGAGTGATTTCAATCTTTATTATGCAGTGCATCACTTTTTCTTTTCCGCAAGTTTAATCAGTGTTGTATTGTTATGCAGTTTGAATCATAACACAGTGTGTGCTGATGGCTTTTTCATTCCAAAAAAAATGGTCGAGTAATATTCAGCCTATTATCCTATGTCAGAACTCTTAGACCAGGAGGCACTAATTTGATCGTAATTAGTAAATTTAACATTCAATGCTTTACAAGGATGGAGAAAAGTGAGTATTCCTGTAGTGTGTGTACCAGGTTAGGGTTGGGCAACAATTTTACTTCGATTTTCCTTATTTTAATTCTGTTACGAGTTTGGGGACTGTCTTAGTGTTAGACTGTTATAGTCAAGTGAATATACCCCCTGTCCATAGGCTTCCGTCCCTTTACACAGCTTGATGTAAAGTAGGCGAACAAAATTAGCTATCACCATATAGGTACACACACTTCTAGAGTGCCGAAAATTGACCACACTATGCCTAACCAGAAAGCATTCCTTGGTCAGCAGCTCCCTTAACACAAAATTTAGTCGTCGTTTTTGTTTAAATCTTGTTTCTTGTCTCATCTTGCAATCAAAACTGCTAATGCATTTATATTAGTTTTTCCTATTATTTTGAAGTATATTTGAGGTCTATCAAGAAAGTTTTGTGTTCACTGGTCGTACCAAGCAGTTCAGTGGGTTGTATTCACCCGTTTAGCTTCAACTGATGTATAGCTCATGAATATTTTATAGTAATTTTCATGTAAATAGCATTTCCGATGGCAATTCTACTCGCACATACATATATATATTTGGAAATAAACACTAAATACCAGTTAATTTTCATACAAAAACCTTTGGTACTGGTAAGCTGTAGACTTTTCGGTATTGTGGACATTTCACATGCCTTCAGTTTGGGTTATGCGCCTGCCTTTCGGTTATTCTTGGGGGTGGTATCAGATTTTTTTTACTGTTGCATAGAGCAGGGGTGCACAACACGGGCACGCGTGTCAAATTTGGCACGCCATGCGCTCAAACGTGGCACGCGAACGGTTTTGTGAAAATATTAGTTTATTTATGATAAACATCATTGTGATACGTTATGTCCGTGAATGGATTCGTGAAATGAATCTAATTCTATTATTTTGTTGTGCTTAAAAGCATGTATTATCTGGTGTGTATTTTTATCCTATACAACACGGGGCACGCGAACGGTTTTGTAAAAATTTTAGTTTATTTATGATAAACATCAAAATATCACCATTATATCGAAAGAAACTTTAATGATCATGTTTATCCACACATTGCTAGCTCGTGGCCTGTTTCCGAAGGTAGTTGCTGAAAATAAGTAACACCTAAATTCGCACTGATTGCAGCAATAAGTAAAATCATTCGCTGCAAAAGAAAAGAAAATGAGACTCGTGGATTTCAAGACTCTTGGACAAGCGAATATCTCTTTATCGAATATATATATAAACAGAAGCCCATATTCTTGGTTTGTGGCACAACTCTTTCTATTTTAAAAGTCTTCAATGTGAAGAGACACCATAACGCGCTACATCAACACAAATATGATAAAACTGTCGGAAAGCCGAGAAAAAGTTTGGTGTTGAAACTATAAAATTCTCTGGGAGTGCAACAGGACGTATTTAAAAAGCCCATCGGAGAAAATGGAAACGCCATCGCTGCATCTTATGTTTTAGCAGAAAAAGTTCCAGGCCATTCCAACAGAAAAAGCTATTCCAGACTATCCACAGATAGCGAGTTTGCTCGAGAATCAGCCTTTTGAAAACTACCATTCCTAGAAGAATTAAAGAAATTGGCGAAATCTTATTCAATTCAATTCGTTTATTACTCCAGACCGCTGCGGTCCATATAAAAATAACACAAACAAATAAACATGAGCGAAAATACAATAAATACCTGATACGACAATCAGATGAGCAACTGCAATCGAAAGTAGACCTTCGAATATTTTTCACTGGCTTTTGATAAAAGCTGTGATATGAAATGAGTGATACTGAGTAATTATCGGTCCGCGCTGTAGCAAAAGACCCTATCTTTTTATGAAGGTCTTGTTGGACTTCTTCCTCTTTATGGCACAACACGTGGGGTAGATATAAAAGAAGCTGTGTTAGATGCGTTTCACTATAAAATTAGTTGGATTGACGACGGGGCAGCTTCTATGACTGATAAAGAAAACGGTGCCGTGGCGCTATTGAAAAAGTACTTGCAAGAATCTGATTTTACTCGGGACATTATTACTTTTCACTGCTTAATTCATCAAGAGTCTCTTTGTGATCAAAGTATAAAGATAACCCATGTTATGGACGGTATTGTAAAATGTGTGAATAAAATTCTGTCGGAAGGATTGAAGCACCGCCAATTTCGAGCATTCTTGTTGGAGATGAATACACAATACAAGGACTTAGTGCATCATTCTCAAGTTCGCTGGTTAAGTAGATGGAAAGTTTTGCAGCACTTTCTTAGCCTTTTTGAAGAAATTGAAATATTTTTACAGGAAAAGAGTTCAACACTGAAGACCAAAAATGGGGAAGATGTTTTGACGCACTTATGTGACAATACTCGGTTGCTGGATATTACGCTTTTGACAGATATTACACAGCATATGTACAACCTATGTATCAGAATGCAACGATCAATTGGCAACATGATCCAGTTTAAAACTATGTCTTTGTTTTTGGAAAAAAAAAAGACAAACTTGGTTTCTGACTTAGAAAAGTATGCCATAATGTGCGGTGACCTTCGTCAAATCTTTTCAAAACGCTTTCAAGATTTTAATGACCGGAAGGCGCAAACGAATTTATTTCAAAGACCATTGAGTGTGGATGTTGAATTTATTGAAGACGCTGACGCTCAACTAGAACTTCTGGATTCGAAGTCAAACCAAGTTTTGCAGGATGTTTTTCAACAAAATGCAATACTTGAGTTCTACTCTCGCCACGAAGAAGCGAATTATCCAGTTTTGTTGAGAAATTCAAAAGTCTGGATTTGTTAATTTGCAAGCACGTACAGTTGTTAAAAGGCATTCTCAATCATGAAAGTAAACAAATTCCAGCTACGGACTCGTTTACTGGATGAGCATGTAGATTCAGTGATGCGAATCGCTATTTCTCCCTTGAAGCCCAACATTTCAAATTTGGTCCATCAAAAACGTCTTCAAATCAGCGGTTTTTCACGGGCTTAAATCGTTTCAATAAATAGATATTCGTTATTATGTATTATTATTGAAGTTTGTTTGATATATGTTATACGGGAGTTCGTTTACAATACCAACAATTGTGCGTGGCCCGCGACAAGATTATTTTGAAAAATTTGGCACATATCCTCATTTGAGTTGTGCACCACAGGCATTAGAGGATTTCGCGGGTGGGCCATATCCATGGTCAAGACACTGAGGTAATTCGTACCTGATGCGGCAACTAATATCGTTCATGTTTGTTTTCTCGCGAAAAGACGAACCATTTATTATCGAACTTGCTGGGCAGCGTCACGCGTTGTCACTTAAAAGAAAAAGTCTCGCTGCTAAGTAGGGATGGCGGAATCGAGTCTGAATTCGATTACAGAATCGACTAGACTCGATTCGGATGCATTGGATTGCAAACAATGTGTATCGTTTTGTGGCAAGTCCTCCACATATATGCATTTACTGTTATGCTGAGTTGCTACGACGCCGTAAACATCACTATATATAATATATTCATTTTTTTTTGCTAGAAGCTAAAAGGCTGTTAGGATTTTTTTTTTCAAAAATCTCTGTGAGTTCTGAGGAATTCATTTTTTTATGCGATTTTGTATACTGTGACAGATTAAATACCCAATACCCATACTACTTAGTTTTAGCTTTCTTGTCCGTCCACATATTTGGACATCGCTCTCGTGTTTGATTTCACGTGGTAGTGTTAAGTAAGAAGGTACCTATGTTTTCTCGGTAAAATATGCCGAGGAATCGAAAATTCAGGAATCGTAAAAAAATCGAATACTTGTAAGTAAGGAGTCCTACTTAGCATCCTTACTTCTGAGTAAGGTTAGTGCGGCTGCTTTAAAAGCTAAAAACTGCTTAACTCATTTAGAATTATTGCTACTGTGTGTCTCCTTGGCGCGAATTGTACATGTTGATCGTTTGCAATGTTATTATCAAGCAATTATTCTTCACAACTGGCCGACGAATCCCTTTCAAATTTTTAGTATTTAAAGATGGAAGAACTCACTAGAGTCTATATATACTTTTATTTCAAGATTCTTTCCCAGGCCTACGCGGGCCGATATTTCATGCAAATTTTGCTTTTCATATAAATTCGCCGGAACACTGTTTTGACATCAACCCAGTTTGTGGAAAAGCCTCCTGTTTTATGGAATGGAATCTTGGATTGATCAGTTTTCATTCTGCTCTGAAGTTCTTCTGCTTTGCTCATTAGCAGCACCATTTTTATGTCAACGAATTCAGGTAACGCTGTGTACAATATAGCTGATTGTATTATTATTAACATATATATTAAGTAGGATATACCAGGATATAAAGTCATCACAATAAAATATCCTAAAAGTTGAGCAGCTGTATTCATATGCTGGCTTGTATATATTTTGGTGTCTCAATAACAAAAAAACATATCTTCTTCTCGATTCTGTCAACTTTGGCACCGCCACTCATATAAGACTTGCTACAGATATGATTGCAGATGTATTTATTTAGGTTGAAAATGAAATGCACAAAATACAGTGACGTTGCAAAAAATTGACATCGTTTATTATTTTACCATATATATATAAATTGTTTTCAAACTCAAATTACTATGCGGGTCTTTTAACTCAGTATTATGGTGTTGAATACAGGAATAACAAATTTCAGTCCAAAATGTTGTAAAGCTTAATGCGATATAGCTCACGGAGCAGCCGTTAATAATATAACATAAAATGATGCATTCTCGATAAACCCGACCAGCTGTACAGGGGCGTATCCAAAGGAGGGTTCTCAAACTAGTTAGATCGAAACAGCTAACGGGTCCGGCCGAACGCCGGAAAATGTGTCTTTTCAGGATTCTTGAGGGTCTAACAAGCGTCTCAAGCTACGAAAAATTGCTATGTATGATACAGAAAGTTGCTTTTTTTTTTTTTGCATTTCAAAAGGGGGAGGAGAGGGTTCCGAACCTCAAAATCCCCCTCCCTTGCTACGACCCTGCAGCTGTGTACATAGCGTTCAGGTTGAATATTTTTTCTGTAATATTGAGAGTACCTCTGACCGTACATATTTCACTCGTGACCATTATTTAGTGGATGATTGAACGAAAATTCGCTTGCAATAATGGATAATGCTCTGAAAACAGTTTCATTGAGGTATTTCAAACAATAGCTCCAAACACTACAATGTGGTTATTGAAATTTGAGAACAGAATTTTTCTTCTTTATGATATGGGTCGGGTTTAGACCAGAAGACACCTTATTTAGCCTATGCTGTTTGTGAGACCCGTCTTTAACAATGACGTCATAACGTTCAACTGGCGTCATAATAGGCTTTTCCTGCTATGTAAAGTAAATAATCATAAATAACATTTAAAATTGCACAAACTATAAGAATTCAGATAATATGACGGATAGTAAGATGAGTTTAATAAAAACTCAGGACTGTAATAAAAATGTCATGGCAACAGAAACTTTAACGTCATAATACTCGTTTCTAGTCGCGAAAGATTATTGTTTAGATCAGAGATGGGCAAACAACGGCCCTTAGGCAGCATGTGTCCCGCCAAAGCATTTTGTGCAGCCCGTGGTTTTGGAAAAAGTTGTGAAAATGTCTTACAACTACATACACAACTTAAATTTATTTTTATAGTTTATTTAAAATATATAAACTGTGAATTGTTAAAATACTATCAATGTTTTTCGTCTCCGGTTCAACAACATCAGCCATTATTAAATTCGACACTGCCATAGCGAATGGGAATAGCAACTGTGACATCACAATCAATTTCTCTATGTGGTCCTTTGCAAAAAAAATTCTGAATGCGGCCCTGGCATAAAAAACTTGGCGCATCCTTGTTTAGATACACTAGTATAGTTATATATCGATATTTTCTCTTTTTTTTAATAAAAAAAATTATTAACGTAAAAACTGTTCAATTCATTTATTTTAGTATATTTTATTTTTAAGGTTGACGGGGTAGAGTTTTCAAATTTTTGACAAATTAATTAATTTGACCGTATTTAATATTTTAATCTATTTAGGGTTAATATTGGGGACAAGAATTGTTAATTAAACCCGATTAAAAAGTTAAATTGATATCAGGTTTTATGAAATTTGAAGCGTTTTCATTCTGGAACAAGTCAAAATTAAAATACCAAAAATGTAGAAACAACTTTGAAATGAATTACTGTTTCATACTGAATGCCGAGGCCTCTTGGCTTCACCATATGCCTTGCCCAATGGTAAATCCGGTCCTTTATGGAAGAACAGCAAGTGATCCATTCTCGACGCAAGGCCAGAACCAGAGTTAGGCCAGACTAGAGTTCTGTTGCCTATACTTCAAGTTAGGTAATTCCGAAGTCATTTATTCAGCTTACTGCCATATTGGATTTTAGATACACGTAAAATTTGAACCGAGAAATTACAAAATTCACTTCGATCGTCGACCATGTTGAACCGAGAATTACGAAATTCACTTTGATTGTCGACAAGAAAGTGAAAAAGTTTCATAAATATTTCACATCCTAATTGTACATTCCGTACCAAAATGATCGGCTTGCAGTCGCTGTTATACCAACAAACGGATGTACACTCACGCTTTCGCATTAATTTGTGGTTATTTCATTTTCTCATGCTCAATTCAATTACTGATATCTTGGGTGACTTTTCATCACATTCTCATACGTCCAAATTTAATTGTTCTTTGATTTTATTTGAACTCTGGCGATATTTTTGTTTGTATAGCCTACCTGGTCAATGTTGACAAAATAGTCCCAGTGCCACGATATCGGCAGGTAATGGCTGGGGATTCATTTCAAATTCATGTTTGTGCCATAACATCATATTATCGACTTCTATATTAGTTTGATGACTTCAAACTGGCGTTACGCGTTCTCAAATATAAGTTAGCCCTAGGGTACATTATTCTAGTTCCGAGACGTGTTGCATTTTACGGATAATTACATCATTAGAATTTGCACAGCATCCATTCAACCCATATTCTTATGTATCACAGCTGCGAAAAATGGTTCAAATATCTTACATTGTTACGTGCATTCGAGCCTACAAATTGTATTGATTGGAAACAACAAATAGTATCGCCCTTAAAAAGAACTAAAGACATTGTAACTAAAGCTTGTATAGAAATCCTGCCTTCGTTATGCCGAATGCATTCTTTAAAATGTTTTCTTTCGCAGACGTATCCATATCATTTCTCCAAAAGTATTTAGATCTTATTCGCGAATAAAGTTAGAAATCGCACAATTACTTGTTTCTACTTCTCGCCCGAGGCGAGATAATTCTCCTCTCTACCGGCAACGCCCGCGACAATTTCTTTTATCGGTTTTGTAAACCTTGGAATAAGCACTTCGATTTTGTATCATATATATACTTTGCATTTCAATTCCACTGTACTTTGCGGTAACTTAATTCAATTTAAAAACACAAAAATGTCAGAATGATTATTCGCTTGGCAGAGCTAAGCAATAAATACTTATAAATAAGGGGCACAGTGTATGTTGGATTGTCCGTAACTCATCTTTCAATCACAAATGCATACACCACTAACTTGAATTGCTCGCGGTGTCATGAAGAGTACTTTCCTTTGTCCGGGCGACTCCAATTACTTCTTATCTGTCTCTAGATGTCAGCGGAATTTTCGCCTACGTGATGTTTGGTGTATTATTAGAATGACCATCTTGTAATGTCTCTGGAGCTGAGCGTCTAGTTCTGAATCGGAACATACGATTCATCATGAAATGAGCTTTTTTTCTTTGTAATAATCTCAAAAAGTTCTTTTTGTGATACCTTTTCCGCCTTGACAATAATTTCTTCTCACATTTTTCTCCTCGATAACCAGTTTTGCATCTGCAAGATGTCATTACAGGTTTAATTGATTGTCTGTCTCTAAATTTCAATTATTTTTCTGATCCAATTGATAAAAATGACAGCAGTACACATAACAATAAATATATACAATCACAAGGTATTTATATAGATATTATCTCGCCAATCCGTATTAAGAATTTAATAATCGCTCGATTATAATTCAGTCGCCTTTTTGACCTCTGTTATAAGCCAAAATTTCTAAATACCGACGGATTAGAACAGAAACTAAGCATGCTTATTTTCGATTTACTCACAACATTTCAAACGCTTTCTCAATGCGTCATTAGTTTGATATTGATAATTTTTTAACACTTACAGACATCGTCGCTCCTTTGAAGGATTTACGTATTTACATATCCCATCATTTTTACAGTAAAATACGTCATCTCCTTCACAAAACTCGCCCGATGCATCTCGTGGTTCACCTGGCAAGAAATAAATCGATTAATCACCCTGAAAGAAAATGTTTTGTCCTGTCATACCAGTATGCATTATGTTTTCTCTACCAAGTATACGAATGTAAGCTATAGCTGCTTGTCTGAAGCTTTATTTAAAATGGGTAAGTTGAACCACGTAATCAAAATATCTTGTTGCATAGTAGCGTTTTTAATACAACTCCACTATTTCACAGTAGCAAAGGAATTGAAAAAAGTTTATTATTGCTCAGACGGCGTGTTGCGTCTGACATTTTTAAAACGATCCAAGTTGAGCGAGCAGTTTGTCTGCTTAGTTCAGAAATAGGTAAGGATGTATAATCCCTAGCCATTTGAATGGCCTTCGCGAAGAGAAATTGAGTTACAATACAGACGACAGGCTTCTTTTTAGGGAATCTCCAAAAAAACTTTTCAACGCAAGGGCCATAGTTATTCAGCTCATATTTTAACCAGCAATCGTCGTGGTGGATTTATACCTGCGGTAGTATTGCAATGTCCTTTCCAGTAAAACAATCTCTTTTTTCTGGAATTGCAAGCATGTTCGAGCATGTAGCAGGCATTAGGAAAATCCCAGTGATTTCCGCTATCTCGCGACATACACAGGTTAGTGTTTTTTCCAAAGCCTGCACAGTCGGCGCTCCTACATATGCAAGAACCATCGGACTGAAACGAGCCAAATCGACACTTTGCTTTCAATATATTCCAGCTATATGTATTATTTGACGTATTTGATGAATGTCCAACAGGAGGAATAACTATTGCTGACGATAAGGTTTGAAGATATTTGTTTGGCATCACGAAGGTAGTCACAGTAAATACTGAAAATAAAATAATTTAGTTATTATACGATGTTTCAGAAAATAAATTCCAATAATCAAATATCCGGTTTGATATTTATCGTTAAATTCATATGTGATAATGTGGTATATTAAACTCAATCCTTACTAACACAACTCTTTAAAATGATTTGAAAAAATTGTACGTAAGCAGATAAATATTTGATAAATATTGCGGCCGAAATTGCGCGGTTTATGACATTCATGAAACTAAATCAACTTCATTGAAATACACTGTTTCATTCATCCTGAAGCCGAAATAATTAATTAAAACTTAAAGCTAAAAGTGAATCTTGTATCCGTATCGCTTATCCCGGAAGATTGTAATTAATGATACGTCACATTCACTTTATTTCTTCTTCTAAGTTGAGTTGATTTCAAAGCAACGTACTCATTTGCACGCAATTAGCGGTAGCATGTGGCAATGAGTCACGGTTTCAAAGAAATCAAAAGGTCGAGTAGAATCATGATGAGTCGTTAAAAAATAGTTTCAACTGTGTATGGTACCCTTCAGTTCAATTTCGTTTTATCAGCGAGTTATCACAAATTATGATATCTTAATGATTCAGAGAATATCTGAAACAACATATAATATTTTTGATGACCAATCTCTACTTCGACACCCGTTTGTATAATGTCACGATAAACCACTCCAGTGTAATTTTTTGGTATTTGCTTGTTTGATTGTATTCTCTTTTTCCGGCCGCTGCGAAATATATGGCTGCGGGACTTCAATGTTGCTGCAGACTTACAATACGTGATACGAAATGAAAATGATTTTTCTCAGAAAAAGGCGTTTCCTTCTCAACGATTCAACTTTCATGTTTTCACACCAAATTTAATACGCATATATTTAAAATAATTATATAAACCAGACTGATAGGTAATCAAACGAATATTTGACGAATCAGTGAGAAGTATATTCTATAGCCAATAAAGATGATATTTTTGATAACATATTTAACATTTCTTGGTACTAAGGTTGTGGTTAGTTTCCATTCTTAGGATTTTCAATTTTAATCATGTTTCAACATGGGGATTTTGATGTATTCTTTAGCCAAACATAAATAACCAATCTTCAATGACTTCCTATCCCAAATGTCGCATTTCCAGTTTTTTTGCTTCGCGGTGCGTCTATAATAAGTTACATAACAACCTTTACAACTGTGGGAGCGTCAATGCTGACATTCGTATGAACGGAACGGGTTTGATTTCGTTTAGAATATTTACAGTTATATCATATGAAATGAAATCTCTATATAAACATCTTCTTCTGATAGTATTTTGTAATATTTTTATAACTTATTTCTTTAATTTCGTATAGATTCATTTCAGAAAACTTACGCAATGTTATAAACACGTTTATTGGACGTTTCTAAGAATGTTCTAAATTTCATACGACATTGACATTGTTGTTTTTCAAGTTTTTGTTCTACGTGAGTTTAATGTATCATGTTTCCAAATGTTTAACTGTGGTCTCAGCATTTTATATAAATAAATACAATTGATGTTGGTTTTTTCGGCTTTTCAATGACACGTATCATAACCGAATGCGAACATAAAGTTAGGTCAGTTTCAAAAACATCTGAATCTTCGAGAAATCTTCACTAATTGATGGAACAGTTTAATTAATTCTTTGATCTACTCGTCGCTGTTGTTGTATTTTTCTTGAAAATAGCAAAATTTGGGGGAAAACATCGGGCCGCAGGGATTCCAGAAAATGCGAATACATATATAAAAGTCATTATTCTACAACACGCTACCATCTTCGAGTATTGTAAATTTAAAAAGCCATTCATATAGTCTTAAAAATAAATTTCCATCTAAATGACAACAATGAGAAAAAATTAGAATTCCTAAGCCCATTTCTTGTGTAACGTTTTATGTACATTTGTTATATTAGATTTACATCTCAGAAAGTTTCACGACAGAATCAAACGCCTATGATTTGTAAAAACCAACACTAATTTACACACATTACTTCTCGCACTTACTACTCTTCTCTACTTACTTATTCCTTGAAAATGATCGATATGAACGATGTTTTTCAAATTTCAATTTGATAAGGAAGTCCCATTGCATTTTTAAATAAGTAATCGTTTTTACCTTTCTAAAGATTCAAATTTCTAAACTCTAGATTATGTATATAACTCGACATACTAACACCATGTGCGCGATCGTTTTTGACATCAACGCCATGAACCGGAATTTTACTGTTCCCTTCATTAAAATGTTTCCTTAGAGTTATTATGAAGATTAAGGCTTCATTCTTGTGTAAACTTTCAGTGCACGTTTTCTTGATATGTTTTTGCGCCTATACGGCTAATATTGCATAAATAATCATTTTTAAAATCTACTCACCTATTAGTTGAAATCGCAAACGTTTGCTCCACGTTCCCATTACAAATGGGAAAGACTGTAATTGCACTCCCGTTTTTGTTGAAGAAGTTTCCACGGGTGGGGTTTCATGCGGTAGCAGGTTTCACTTTTGTTGAAAATATGTATCCCTTGAAAGCTTTTGACAAATGTCACCATACTGAAGGTGATGATATGTACGGTTGGAGTGTATCTTACCCTAACCCTGCTTTAGGCAAATTTGGATGATTTATACCTAAAATATTTCTCTGCCTTTATCTGCTGTGTCATTGTGGAGAACACGCAGAAATATCGGTAGTAATTCACAGCTTTGATACTAGAGAGATGAAAAAAGCATCTAACCGCAGTGCAAAGCAGCGCGCGCATTCTAACTTTATATACCTCAGGGTATTTAGGCTGCTATGTTAATAAAGTCCGAAATTGAAATACGAGGATTACAGACACGTTGTCGAAGTCAACTGAACGTTCGTAATCACGAATTGTCGTCAAGATTAACATTTAATCACCATTACAATGTTTACAGAAAATTCCATTCAATAATAATAAAATTATCCCCTATTATCTATTATATAATCTGTATACGTGTGTATAACTCAAAATTTCGTGAACATTTACAACAGTGTCGCTGTTTCGAGTATTGTTCAATCATGACCTTTTTCTGTAAGTGGTAATGAGCGATGAAATGAATAGTAAAAAAAGCTTACGTTATTCATAGGCGTTGAAAATTTTATTTTAAATACGTCTACGCGGGAATCGACGATTAGGCAGTGTTGTAATAATCCAACTTATCAACGACCAAATCTCTTAAATTGAGGTGGATTCCCAAGAAAGCGGATATCACTCAATAATGAATTAATGACGTCAGTCATTGCGTGTTGAAGATTTTCTTTTAAATACGTCACTACCGAAATCGACGATTCGGCAGTGTTGTAATAATTCATATAAAATTTTATATTTATAGAAGAGAAATTTTCCTTTGTAACTCATGTTTGGCATGTATTAAGAAATTCCTTTTCGGAGAAAGTCGTTGCAAACGAAAGCCACATTCACTTATTAAACCCTTGAAAACTCGGTTGCAAAGAAAGGCAATGAATTGAAATGAAAAAGAACGTTCAGGTAATAAATCGAATAACTTCAGAGAAGTGCATTTAATCGGAGTGGATTAACAGACAGGAAGTGGCCACTTTTCGCCAATTGTAACTCGATTCAAATAAACTTTCAAAGAATCGGTTTATCATTTATTTCTGTTGCTATAACAAATAATGCACAAATAGTTTCCAGCATGTTCACGTAACAGGTACGGTACAAAATTTCTGTCAAACTCGTAAACTATGTTTCCCTTTTCCTGTGGAACTTTTTTGGCGGTCCTAACTTTGATGATTCCAAGGCATTTATAAGTTATGAAATTCCTGAAAAGTGATGTTGATATTTTTCTATATAATATTACAGTAAAATCCCACTTTATAAAAATTTACATAAGATGAAAAACTCAAACCCGCATAAAATTAGGCAACCAGCTTATGGAGCATTTCTTATCTATCGTTATCTTATTGCACAACATGTAAAATTTTATCATGGAAACCTTTCGAACGTCATACCACCAAAGTGTGGTAACTTCTTACGCAAAGTCTCATGCTGAATACAAATAAACCTTCCGAAAAGACGAATTTTTTGGCAAAAATCTGACTTTCTAATCTATTAAATGCTTTTGCACCAATATATCAAACATTTTTCTAAGTTATCTAGTGAAATTTCATCTGATACTGGGTATATCGTATCCGAATTGAAATTTAAGATTCTTAACAAACCGCCTGTCGCATAGATCAAAACCATGTCGCCTGAGGTGCAGGTCGTAGATTAATGCAAGGATCGAGTAAAATGGGATTTTGTTTCATACTATGCTCACAATTTAAAAATATTTTCAAATAATTAAAAAATGTAAGTATGGTTGTCAAATGGAATGCTTTGATGGACTTGAAATTCTTTCGTCATATCATATTTGTGAGGACAAATTAAAACTTTTTTGGCGCGATACCAAAATTAGTTTTTGCCAGATTCGTTTAAAAAGTTGTGTGTTATCGAACGCAAGTCGATTTGGTATCTCGTGTATTTAGGTTTTTTGCCACGACGCAACTCTTAATTCTCGTCTTGATCAGAATTCTGATGAACAACGTCTTATGGAACTTGCAAAAACTCCGGAAACGGACTTGCTTCGGGTTCTCAAATGAGGCATCAGTGGCAAGTGTGACCAAATTCTTGCCAATAAATCTTTATATCAATCCTGAAAGAACAATTTCCAATGTCGAATCATCAAAGATGAATCATTCGAATTTCGTATCGTTGTCTACACCAGCGTTTCCCAAACTTTTTTGGCCACGGAACACTTACGCTTTTTATCTCACCTCGCGGAACACCAAAAATGAAAGGGTAAAATTGATAAAGAAAAATGATTATGCAGCGGTCCCAAAAGGTGCGCTACTACAGTACTACTGCAATACTAGTACAGTACTAGTAGAAAACTAACAAAATTGTATTCAACATACCTAAAATATGATGATAAAAGAAGTCTGACCTTGGTCAGACGAAACGTTACAGAACATATTTGTTTAGTGTGCAGCAAGACTCTTGAATCATTTAGGATTGTTATCTCTACTCTTGCTACAGCATCCTTGCAATATATGCCTACGGATCCACCGGCACAAAAGCATAGAAGAAGGATAAGTAGTTAGTCTCGCAGAAACCAAAAATCAGCGAATATTTTGCTGTGTATCTGAATCAATAAATTCATTTTACCTTTCTTTGTCGTTTCTTTCTTTACATTCTATTACGTAGTGTTTTCCTCTAATGTTACCTAACAATGAAGTTAGAAGTACTGGTGCAATTTTGCGAGCTGGAGTTTGTTTATCTGCTGAATCGAGTTTAGCGAACATGAGTGATTTTTTCAACATTTCCAAGTAAAACCAGGCAGAGCTTGAGAAAGAAGAGTTGACCATTTGCCTTTGACCGCTTTAGGCCGACCGTGACGCGATATTGAACGGTCGCCAGTTCACGATCCCGAGATAGCCATGGCGACCAATTTAGTCGTAATTTTGGTCTCTTTCCCACGGAACACTTGGAAGATGCTCGCGGAACACTAGTGTTCCGCGGAACACAGTTTGGGAAACGCTGGTCTACACCATCTCCAAGTATTTGACTTGTCATAAATAAATACAGTGGCAGGACGCGACAAGGATATCGGATCTCTTTACCATGCTCGTCTCTATGGACCTTTCCCCGAGCATCGACTTCCTTGTTTACTTCGTGACATTGCAATCAACAAGATGCAAAAAGTGACGTAACAATGCTCCCTTTTCGCATTCGCTCAGACACTTTTCTCACTCAGACAGATTTTCAAGCGTGGTCGTAAACATTACCTCGTTTTCGCGTTTTTGAACTCTATTCGTTAGTTTTCAGTTGTGTTTCGGAAACTTAAATGTAAATCAGATATTTCAATGATCACTCTGTCTTCCTAGGAGTTTTTATTTAATTGCAGTAATAAAACTAGTGTAGAAATAGCTGTGATAGACTAGGCTAAAATTCTTTACCGGTACTTTTAAAAAAGCAGATTGTTGTATGCAATGAATCATAATGATGGTTTGAAACACATACCCATTTCACAGGCGCCAAATCGCAAAAGCACTTTAAAATAGCCCCTAAAACTTTGCAATGGTAAAGTATAGGAAGAATTTTTCGGGGGTCAAAGGTCGGGGAAAGGTCCATTCGCTCGAAATCACTGATACGTCCGTGCATAGAGCTTTTGCCACTTCAGAAAGCAACTAGCATTCACAACTGCGGAGGGACGTTTTTGGGCATATCACGGGTGCCCGACGTGCGCGTAAGTTATAAACAAGTGGGCAATGCGAAAATGTATGGACACAAAAGCGTAAGCAAAAAATTTTACCGAAAATTCCTCCAAAATTCATATCTGGAACTGTGGGACAGATACCGGTACCATACCTTACAAGTATCGTTACCCGGGCTGTCCTAGCTGTTCCAGTCCCTTGACGATGATGGTCCATGCGTGCAGTTTCAACCTGAATCGAAGTATCAAATGATTCGAGTTACAGCTTTAGTATCGAAACTCTTACAGTGCCGGTAGTCTACGATTCTACGTTATCAAAAAATTTCCGGTGCGCAATTTTTAATTTTGAATAACGAATACAATAGAGCCCACATAAATATTTGAACGAATAAAAGTGATAGCTTTCTAGCGACAACGACAAAGTGATTTTTTTCATAACAACAACAAGAAAAATAATAATAACAACATATCAAAAAAACGATCTATAGGTGCATTTCGTCTGCAATAACCCGATGTTCAACGTTGTCCGCTGCAGGTAGATAACCGAAACAAGCAGTTGCGTTTTATCTTGGCGGCAATTATCTAACTAAACAATACAGGTCAAATGTCGGGGTGACCAAAGAAAGCAGTGATTTACCTTACCTTTTACAGTACCGGTACCGTTAAAAAACTTCCGACTTTTCAGTAGCAAGGGAGTAACACGAGGGAGGTCGAATTATCGCTACAAATAATTTGTATTAATTTTCAAGAGGTCATCAATATTTCGAAGTTTAAAAACGAATCACATAGAGCCCACGGATGGGTTTAAAATGAATTAAAGTATTAGCTCTCTATCTAACAGTATTCTTTCTAGTTAATGAGAAAGGCTATTTTTTTAAAAATATAAAACAACGGGAAGAAAAATACCAACAAGAACAATAACATGATAACAAAACGATCCATAGGTCCATTTCGTGTCCAACAAAAGAACAAAGCTCAAAAGAATGGACACGAAAGCCAAAACGAAATATTTTACCCACAAAATCCGCATTCGAAACGAAGCTGAACCTATGGAGTGGCTACTGGCTACCGTACATGTGGGTCTAGTGTAGTTTATTACCACAAATACTTATATATAGTGGGTGTGGCCGTGGCGTAACAAATTTTGCATGATAAGTCATTCCTAACCCCCAACTGACTACGTCACTAAACTAGACACCAGTTGCCCAACGTACCCTTACGAAAACATTTCCATTGAGCGAGCACCGTCATGCATTGCGCTTTCCCGGATGGGCCTTGGTATTCTTCACGTTCCCTTACAGTAATGTACTTAAAAAACGGAGGGGCACATTTGTGCAGTTGTTGTAGTCTCTGTAGGATTCGTATTTCACTCTGAAGTTTTGTGTAATAACTTCATCAA